AATCATGGCAGAGTAGGAAAGCAGGATGAATATTAAGAAAATATCAACACCAACATCAAAAGCTTTTTATGCAGTTTGCCACTCATAGTTTTTGAATTTTTTCCGGGGGAGAAAAGTGGGACTGCGCAACACACCGATGCACCCCTTCGCCACTGACATCGATCCTGTGCCATGGCTTCCAAGGTCTTTAACCAGAAATTATCCGCATTTCTCGGACCCCAACCAGAGAGTTGACAACAACCGGCCTAGGCCAACTGTTTCGTCAGCTTTTTCGTGCGGCTTCTCTAAATTGCAGGCTATCCAAACCGTCTTTTCTAGCTTTGTCCAGCAACCGCAAACAACGCACGACACGGGTAACGCTGGGCAGATATGCGCAGTACGTGTCCCAGCCCCCGCAGTTGATGCATTGAGATGAGCTCCTCGAGTGAGTGGCTTCCTCGTTCCAAGTCACGATGTCTAACTTCCATATTGCTTACGTGGTACCGCCACCACACACTGGCAATGGACCACAGACAGCGGTGCTCGAAGACGGATAGCCTGCGCTAGTCATCTTTACGAATGGGTCATGTCTGCATCCTTACAACAGTGCAGCACGAGCAGTTGCACAATGGACCCGCCTTTTGATGGAAAGGCGAACGTCGTGGCGACGCCACAAATGCCTCGACCTAGAAAAACGAGGTGTACTCTTGAGATGCGCATCGAAATTTCGTCTCCAACGGCCCCGGTAGCAGTGTTGCAAATTCCCAAGTAGACAAAGCTCTCCACAAGCTCCAGTGTCTCATCACCAAGGGTGAGTGCAAACACAGGCACCTGCCAGTCTGGAAAAAGAGCCTTGCATTTGAATGGCGAAAATTACATACCAAAATTTGATGCTTCAGTCGCCAAGCGGTTTAATGCAAGTTGGACAGCTTGTGGGTCAACACCCAGCAAATCGATATCATCAGCATACTCCAAATCAGCAACTCTACTACCTGGGACGAGGTCAACACCAGCGTTCAATGAATCGCCTAGAACGTTCTTTAGGACATCCTCAATGACAAAGTTGAATAGGAACGGTGAGATAGGGCATTTTTGTCAAACCCCACTGGAGACCACAAAGGAAGGCGAAAGCTTGTTATAAGCCCTAACTCTGCCCGAGATCAGACCATAGAGAGCGTGCATTATAGAGACGAACTGGAGCGCCATTCCTCAGCAGGCTATGCCACGATACATTTCAATCGACAGAATCGAAGGCTGCACGGACATCCATGAACACAGCAATTGTTTTCCTTTGATGCACATGGCGGAACTCAAGCATCTGGCGGAGTGTAACGATTTGACCGATGCAGCCGCGACCAGGGCGAAACCCAGCTTGTACTTCTCGCTGCAGCGATTCGCGCGTTGGGGATAGCCTGCGAATTGTGATGGACACCAGCAGCTTGCAAACGACGCGGACGAAAATTATGCTTCTGTAGTTGGAGCAGATTGTGCGCAAGCCCCTTTTGAAGATGTGGACGACTATCGATTCACCCCAAGGTGATGGAACTTCCTCTTTCGACCAAACTTTCGAGAACAAAGCAGTGAGTTCTCGAACCAGCGAAGCGCCACCATCTTTAAATAGAGATGGAGGTAGACCATCAGGGCCGGGGGCTTTATAACGCTTCATGTGGCAGAGCTCCTGCTCGATTTTCTGGTATGGGAAGGATCTATGGGGCTAGACCACTCGGCACCAATGCGAGCGGCAGTGGTAGCAGATAGAGCTGGGGGCCAACAAAACTGCGAGCCAAAATGTTCGACCCATCGCTCCATCCGTCGTTGAAGATTGGTGATTAAGGTACCATTCTCTTCGGATATTATTTCACTTATACCAGATCGAACACCCTTGGTGACTCAGATGTGAGGGAAGTTTTCTGGTATTATCAGAGAGACTAGCAAGCTCCATCTCCCTAGCACGTTCACACCACCAAGCTTCGCGGTCCATTTGCAGACTCCTGCGCAAGTCGACCCAGGGATTGGAGTTCTTCATTGTGATTGGAACCAGACAGGATCAAGCGGCGTTTGTCCATCAGCAACAAGGATACGGCGGAAATCCAATGCTTGGTGGGTGACGTGCAACTCCACAAGTGTCGATACTGGCGGAAGCTAAGTCATCTTTGATCTGCTTCCACTGCGCATCGAGGTCACCGCTAATAGTTGAGCCAAGCAAGGTTGACAGTGAGATTTTGTATCTGGTTAAAGTCGCAGAGTTTTGTATATTTGTGACATCCGGTCGCTAATGAGCGCGCTTAGGTGATCTTCCGAGACGCATGCAAATCTTAACACGAACCAATGCGTGATCGGAGTCTAGATAAGTTGACTAGTACGATCGGCAGTCCGTTGCGCTTCCGCGCCATATGTAGCTGAATGCTATGTGATCAAGCTGGGAGCACTCTTGCGTTTGTGAGGGTGGGCGCCAGGTACAAGTGTGTATCTTCTAGTGCCGAAAACTAGTGCTCGAAAGAAACAAGCGATGATCATTGTCTGATCGATTGCCACCGATGCCAACACTACCCCCAAGGTGGTGCGTTAGTCTCCGGCAAGGATGACTATATCATTCCTTTTAGAGGAACGCTGTATTTCATGTAGCTGCTGGTACAAGCTATCCTTGACTGCATCCGGGCTGCAGTCTGTGGGGCGCGTAGGCGAAGACGACAAACAAGGCCCGCTTAACGTTTCGACGCCTGCTTACATTCCATGAACCTCTTAATCGGACTGCGCATAGCCAACTGTTGACTGGGATGCAGCCAAGCAGAACTGCTTCAGCCCTGGCACTTAGCGCAACCCCAACACCAGCTTGGTCAGAAGCGGCAGCTTCTGGTTCTCCAGAAAGCCGCAAGTGGTATTTGGCGTCAGGGTTTATTGGAGAGGCCATTCTGATGACGGTTCTAGAGTTTTGTAATCTGGTCTTTGAAATGCAACAGATGTCTACCGAGAGCGTTTCAGTAGCACGGGCCAGACATGCTTGTCGTCCGATCTGCATCGAATTTCGAACATTAAACGCTGCAAGATGAATGGAGAACCAGGTCGAAGAAGAGCTGGAGCTTCGATGGAGTGAGAGACGGTTGCGATCGCAGGACATTGAAAACCGGAAGTTTGGCTGTTACCTCCATCAGTTGCGTGAAGTGGGTCGCTTGTGACGGTGACCGAAGAAGACATAAGAGTACATATTGGTGGAGGATGGGAGGTGGGGTGATCTGTGAGTGGAGGTTGAGGAGTTGAGTTAGCAGAGATGATAGGCATAGCAAGAGCAGTAGTAAGCAGTGTGACCCGTCATCCGTCGACTCGGGCGCGTGAACTATCACCTGATTACTACGTCGCTGGTTGATGGCAGTTTTCCACTTCTTTTTGCTTCGCTGAATTCTCCATTGGCCTTCATCGCTTGCACTATCGCACACTGGTATGTCAGTGTCCTTGGATCGCAACACAGGCTCGCCACCTGACGCTGCAGAAACAGGTGGACATCGCTCTGGAATGTCTACAACTGGTGGGCAGGTGGGCTCGTTCGAAAATAGACGGGACTGGGTTTCCGCTTGCTTGAGTGGACTCACGAAGCTCCTCCCTATGGAACGTTTCGCCCGTCTTGTAGGCTCGCGCTGTTTCCTGGCTGTTCGTGACTACACAGTGGCTTGGCATTTTTTGCACAATATTTGGACAATGTCATGCTGAGTAGTTTTAACGGATCTAAAGACAAACCGATACACGGAATATGGAAATTCACACGACATATAAGGCATGTAACCGCATTGGCTCCATGCTCAATTAGTTTGCAACAAGTGTCACAAGGGGTCTGCTTCGTCATTACAGATAGCTTAGCAGATGTGACGGTAAATGTGCTAAATTGAACGTTAAGTACACGATGGAATACTACAGTAATATATGGGCATGACGCTAATACACAATAAGAAACTTCAGAATTGCAAAAGAAACTGCGTTTGACAAGCATCAACACGAAAAATCTACTTTGCACAAAATAATGAACAATGTAAACTGGCCTTTCTAACAGAGTGAGAACTACTTTGGACTTTTTAGTCCCTAAACCCGCTACAAAACGCCTTACGAATTTCGCCACGGAGAATAAACACATCAGACCGTATGGTGTACGTGGTAAAAGTTTCGAGGTTGGAGGCCCAGTGTTTGTCGCCTTTGGCCAGGGACGCAAGACAACCTGATACCTGGACATCTAGCGCAGCGCCTTGGTAGGGTGATGTCCGAGTTCCAGATTGTCACTTAGTTATAGATCAATCGCGGAAGTCACTAACGCCAAGCTACCCGAGGAACGCTCCCACACCTAGTGTCGACGAATTTTGCTACAACAAATTGCTCGGCACTTGTGAACCGATGGATGCCCCCAGATGCAACACTCAACCCTTTGATCAATGCAAAAATGAAGTTCACTGAGGCTACAAACGAGAACTGTGATCCGTGCAGTCATTCCACGTGAACCACAGTCGGAAGAACTATACAACTCCAAGGTTACTCATCTTTAAAGGGAGTGTTGGAGGAGCGGATGAGTTAAATCTCATCCGATTGAATGTACCTGCTCGGGTCAAGCGCGCAGTGTACTGCATTTGAATGTAACTCAACCTGAGATTGTGTACAGATTTAGTTAAATTCAAATGCAGAAGCGAAAACATTTGACTTTCATTGATATTTCCTATTTCAGTTATATCTTTAACTTTTGTGATTATTGTTGAGTCAGCTATACTCTTGTTCTGACGCATCCTGTTACCCTTAGTATGGAGCGGACAAAATCAGTTCACAAGCGATGCAACCGATTTAAAAGCTGCGCTAGAAAAGTTGTGTTTTACACAGCACTTGTGTTGTTGCTCTCTGCATCACGCTGAATTTGCTCCTTCCGTTTTCGCCATGGTTCGGATGAAACACGTTTGTCTTCATTCAAGTTTAGAAGTAAATTGATTTAGCTGTACATGCTGAAAAATCCAGTGTTGTGTGCCTATTTTCTTTCTCATGCTCTTCTGCAGTTTTCACAAGCGTCAGCAGCGGACTCGATGGAGACCGGAGCGCATGTACAGCTCCTGACGAAATTGGAAAGCAAACAGACTCCGATTTACTAAGTTCAGTATGTATATCAGATGTAGGTAAACAAAATGCATGTTGTTACAAGCGTTGGTGTTACAACAGTCATGTTCAGTGCATTTGCGGTTTCGGTTTGCTCGTTTTTCTCATCTATTCATATTGCTTTTGTTTATCAGGTGTGATTGTCGGCGAAAGTGGCCCACTGACGGCTTGATTCAGCAATTACATCGACCAACGGAGCTGTTAATTCTTTGTTGTACTTTTTCTGTACAGTCCCTCCCCCCCATTCGCCTTTATATCTATGCACCATGTAACGACCTCGCCGTACAAAATGTGTCAAACACTTCTTTCCCTCGGCTTCGTTGTTGTATCCGCACGCAGCTCATTGGGTCGAACTGTTAGTGCCTACTGGCGAGTACGAAAACCACATATTCGCAGCTTATATTTCTTTTGACAAGTCACCCTAGTGTTGTAGGTTACTGTATTCCGCATATGCTCGCGCTGCTCCTATAATGGGCTGAAAGCGTTGTAAGATCTTTCTGGTTATTATGCCGATGCTCTTTCTAACAGCAAGTGTGTGTGGCATCATCTTGAAAGACATCGAGGGGACGTTGTTTTAGTTTCTTCGAACTTAGCCTCAGCAGTGACTATGAACTTATTGGAAGTGGTTAATTGTCAATCATACACAGGGACACATAGATCACGACTGTCCGTACGATCTTGACCTGTTAGTTCGCCTCACGTCTCTCTTGTCGCATCGGCCATTGCGAATCAGATAATCCCTCCACCTTGTGGTTTTGAGGCATTAACAATACGCAGTACCGACACTTCGCTGCCGATCGCACGTGGGCTAAGGATACTGCGTGGGGCTCCCAGTCCCTATGCATTCTGGAACCCGCGCACTCGGATTATAAGCCAGGCTTGTAATCCTTAAGGCTACGGGCCTTGTGGTTTTTTTGATGGTTAGTGGTTCAATAAATAGGGGCAACGAATTGCCCCAGAAGATTGATGGTCAGTTAGCATTTATACATTCCTGATGCGCACTGCTCAATGCCCACTTGCGCAGTTAAATTTGCCTACAGTTGCATTACTCGATAATAGAAGACGTTGGCAATACACCAATATTACGTAGCAATGCTTCACTGCCATGCTACAGCGAACAGCTATGCGCGGTTTAAAAACCTATCAGGGATTTCCATATCTGTGCAAGCTCAGAACTCCAATCTGAGAAATAAGCCGCAAGCCAAACAGTTCTGCCTACGCCACACCTTAGGTGTGTACGCTATTTGTTGTTGACTTAATGATGTGTTGAACCTAAAACAACCAAACATACTCGAAACTTTCTCGTTAAAGTTGCTGTCTACTTCGACTTACAAGGTTTTTTTCCGTCAGTCTTAGAAAGGGCTTCAGATGGAAACCTGAAGTCGAGTGCCCCACGAAAATCCGCTTTCTTAGCTCGGATCCGCGATGATTCCCGTCATTTCGTTCGAATTCTTCCCATTTTCCTCCGTCATGTTCTACGGGTACTTCCCTTAGCTTTGTCGCACACTGAAGATTGCTTTGGGGTATGGTATTGACGCTTATGGTCTCGGGACTTCGCATTCCTGTGGCGCCATGGTAAGAAAACAATTGCTTAGTGTGTCTCGCAGGGTGGTCACGGAGTAAAGCTTACAGCGAAGACTGTACATGAGAAAAATCAAAATAGTAGGATAGTGGTATCTTGAAAGATTGTTGAACTTGGACAGTACCATGTAAAGCAGCGTAACAGGATGTTATAGTCAATGCCTCATCCTGTGAACAATCCGGTTGCCCACCCGCTCCCTCAACGTGGACCTTAATTGGTGTGTCACCTCGAACAGTTAGTGACGTGAATAGATTGCGACCCGCAATCTCAATGTGGGCCGCCATTCCCATTGAAGTTAATGTTGGTGGATTCGATCACTAGAACCGTAACTGATAAAGCTGATGAGTATCTTGAATGTTATCCACCCGAAAACACTGCACCGCACGACCGGTCTCGAACTTAATTGATCTCCACAGGGTAGACATAGCAAGCATCGTACCCAAGCCCATTGGGATGTTATTAGAACCTCTACCGCTTTAGTCACCGGGCAACCCCCAATAGTTATCTGCTCCAAGGAAGCTTGTTCACCGAAATACGCTCAAGAGTATTCGTTCATGTAAAAGTGAAGGGAGCTAAGGTGGCATGCAAACTGGGTTTGGGCGTGCTCCAGAGTTGATAGACCCGAAGGGCGAAGTAGACTCGTCAATAATCCATGCGATCTTAAAGTGCTGCCTTTCAGATTAGTGTTCAGTCTGAGTTTCGTGAGGTGACACCTACGTCACTTGGATTGCTCAGTACCTAGTACACCTTTATGGTGTATCCACATAGCAGTCGTTAGCGTTCGCTAAATACTGAGTCCCTTCAGCCGTTACTAGTGTAGGAGGTGACGCATACTCTTGACGCTGTTCGCTACCCGGTACTGCGGGGTCTCGAACGCAGCCAAGTCATGTTTTATCCAGGGATATGGAGCCTGGACAACGTAATCGATGTGGGAACACAAGAATTGGGCATCATTGGTGAATCCTTATTCCAAAGTGTCCTCCGCAAAAGACTGGTTTGCTCTTTGTGAAACAGCTTCAGATTGTCTAGAACAACCGAGGACGTCCAGTATGAGCACACCAAGGTCATGTTCCCGAGAGATCATCTGTAGGTTGTACGCGTGTAGGTAAAAGCGTATCAGTGGCGTATGTGAAGAACTCTGCACGCGTCCACCTTGAATGGCAACGCGTTCCCCATCGACCAACTCTAAGTCTCATCAAGGTCGCATCGGAGAACTTCTTGTTCGTCTAATCCCTTGCTTTGTCTCCAATTCTTAACATCTAGAGTGAGTAAAAGCCTTGGAGTAACGACACTTGCTATATCGTTATCAAAAACTGGATACATTATGTCCCAGTACCGAACTTTGCGGCACGCTGCACTCTACTCGAATTGGGTCGGGAATCAGGATTAGGACTCCCGCCCCCAATTGACGTTTGCGGAGAAAGTCACTGATCGATCGCAATACTGGATCTCAGCAAGTATTATTCGGAAGCTTATAAAGCAGGCTGACTTGAACGGTCAATACTTTTGAAAAGTCCAAGTAGGTAGCACCGGTTTCTCTTCCCTTGTCAACTGCTTCAATCCAGCTACCGCGGCGAAAACCGTGTCTTCCTGGTGCGACGATATCATAGCTTTCTAGCTAGCCCATCAAAGCGTCTGTGAATACTGCCTCCATGAATTTGGCGAAGGTTGGGAGAACCGGTATCAGGCGATTATTTGCATACTCAGGTCGACTTCCTCCCTACTGATTGGGGGGTTTCATGATGAAAGCGCATATGAAAATTACGCAAGAAACGTACATACATAAAAGCGCACGCGGGAAGTTGCAGACGCTAAAGGCATACACCTTTCAACCTGGTCACAAGTGCCACTACAATTTATTTGTGGCACTAACAAGGTCCGATTTTTGACGTGCCTATAAGTAGGAAATTGTGACAATTATGACATTCACACCCAAGGTGTCTGTTAGTTCGACCGCTGGGCACGCACCGCACTGCGCAGCGTTGCAAACCATACACCAAACTATTGCAGTTAGTCGAGGCGTAAACAAATCAGCAGATAAAACCCACTGTGTCAGCAGGCGCAGTTAACGTTCCACCTTCCTTTTCCAGAGGCTGAAATTAAAGGCGGCTATCTTCACCTTAGCCAGATCCTCATAAGGAATGTCAGCAACTTGGGCCTAAAGACTTCCTTTGAAATTGCAGTCAGTGTAAACTCCAACTCAAGTTTCTGGCTGCACTGACCGTTGTCTCAGTTGTTGGTATAAATGGGGTGTTTGATAGTTTCTGCGCTACTTTTCCAAATGAATCATATAATGTGGTACTCACATACCTCTCCACGTACGGTTGCGAAACAATCCAGGGCAACCAGTGTACTTTACTTAATATTCACGCCGCAAAAATCGATCTGCTTTACAGTCTTCCCTGGTATTGACCACAAGACCTTAAGACTTGTCTGTGTTACCCGAATAACCATCAGCCGCACTTGCTCATATAACGTTTCATACTGGACACATCCAATACTTGATCAGGTCTTCTGATTGGGTTATATTTTTCCGCTCCACCACCTAGCTCTCCAAGATACAAAGGATGAGGCCCAAGGAAAATGAAACTGGTGCTTCTATCAAGCCAGAAGTAAACGCGATTGCTAACGCTGGTTTGCACTTTGTAGCAGACTGCTTTTAGAGTCCTGACTCAAGTTGGCGTCCTCCAAGTAAACAACACGCGACAAACAGTCGCACCTTTTAAGGAGAATATTTCAGAAGGTATCATGCAGCCAGCCTGCGAAATTGGCGACCACACCCCATTCCCCAAACAATGAGATTGTTAAGGGGTAATATGCGCCTGATAGGACACAAACTCAGTCGCTTGTAGCACAGAAAAATGATTAGTGCCCGACCTCCCTGAGGCCGGCGCAACTCCATCCGATTCACATGCTCCCGACTCACTTTTAATATCAAAGGTATCATACGCGTGGGATCTCATCCTTATAACAAACCTGATTGCTTGCACAAATGACCGACGGAGTCGCGATGAAGTGCTTGCTACTTATTCCCTTATATGGCAAACAGAAATGGATTTCTCAATTGTCAGTACAATCGTCCTCCCACGTGAGTTTGCCACTGCTAATCGGTAGGTACCGGTCGTGTTTGCGGCCGCCTTTATGACGATGTCCGTTTATCTGAGGAGTCTTGATTCTGAGACGAGAAACTGATATGCGACCAGTTTTCTTGGTTCCTAGCAAATACCCAGGTAGGAGCGCAGCCATTTATCCTCTAACGCCATAGCTTCAATTTGAATCCGAAATGAAGAACATTATTGAATGGCTATGGAAATGTTTTAAATCCCTCGTGCAGCTGTGGCGTGCGCTGCTACTCCTACAACCCCTGTACGCACGAATCACCAGTGCCTTTTTGAAAGCGGTTACCTTTTATGCACTTAAAACGTGGGCGAGCTTATTCAGTAATGCGTTGTTCAGGGCTGTTTTCCTCACTGAAGTGGTCATGTGGAAAACCACCTAGTTACAACGCGAAAACGAGTTATTCACAAGTAAAATGCATTTCCTATTAAAAGGGATGGGAATGTCTGTAAAAATAGATTGAAATATGTGGGTACAGCATTTGCTCGTACGAGCACAGTTTACCGTTAAGTGCAAATAATATGCTGTTAGGTTTCACACCAACAGGAATCATCACAGAAAATTAGCTAATCTTTGCATTTAAGCCGATCTTCCTCTGATTCATAAACAAGTACACAAGAAGCATCGGCAGCTTGCAAAGCATCATATATGTTCTTGCTCACCTCACAGCGACTTGCACGCGCGTTGGCTAGTGTA